AAAAGTATAAGAAAGTAGTAAACTCTCACCAAAGGTGATGGAGTCAAGATCTTGACTCGGTCGATATGTACAAGCCAGGGAGGCAAAAGAGCCTCGGGAAGGTTAAGGTAAGGGAAATAAGATAATTTCGAGACGAAATATCTTTATTTTTGGGTTTTGGGCGACGTGTTTCCCCGAGGGTTCTCAATTCTCGAACCCATTTTGGATGAGTTAATGGTTTGGCAAGTCCAAAAGGAGTCTGTGGGAAAAGTTGGAAGGCGATTTGGACAATACATTTCAAAAGGGGTTCTACCTAAAGGATTGATTATTTTGTGGTTCGATCGATTAATGTCTGTTTTATTGGATAAGGAGATAACGACATCATAATAGGTCGATTCTAATTTCAGTGGGGTGTAACATATTTGATAAAAGTTCTCGAATCGAGATATTTGAAGACAGTGGAAGTGTGTACCTTTCTTCGATTTTGACTTGTCCTGCTAACACAAGAGAAGGTTGAGTAGTCGGTTTACGCGAACTTCATCAAAAGTAGCATGACTACTCGAGAACCAACCGGCCCACCATTGAAAAAACCCACGAGTAGATAAATAATTCGAATCGAAAGCATAGGGGTAAAAGTGCATCGGGGTTTTCGGTAAAAGCTCGACAAGCTCCCGACTAATTGTGGATTCGGTTAACTTGGACTTTGGGGAGGTATCGAGAGAAAAGAAAGGCAAAGATTGACTCAACCCAAATTGTCTCGAGAAAAGCTGGGGGTAATAGGTGACAAGCTTAAAATCCTTCGATTGAAAACCCGATACCAAAACATCATGGGTCAAATAGTTACTCCATACACCTATCGGTTCGATTGCAACCCAGGAGTCGAGGCGGGAAATTTCGATTTAAACCAAATCGGCCCCCTAAGTTGGCCACTTGTTCTTCCAAGATTTACGATAAATGGGGCCAAGGTTGAGTCGAAAGTGAATCTGGTTAACAAAAAATGAAGGTATTTACGGTAGGTAGTTTCATCGGACTTATGACGAGGGTGACGAGAGGATAATCGGGCCCCTTCTATATTTACACTCGGAGGGACGGAAGAGATTCGAGGAAGGACGCTCTCAAAAATTGAAGTAAGCCACAATCTGTACAAACCAAACAGGGCTCGAAAAATTCCCCGACGCTTTAGGTGTGTTCAAAATTTCGACGACCTCGTCGAAAGTAGCATACACATGAGCTAGTAGTAGCTTAGCCAAACATATCGTAGGTCGACCTATGTGCGGGACATATGCAAGATCAAACAAATGGGGGAGATTTGGATGGATCGGGGCAAAATACATGAGTGCATAGCCAATACACCAAAAATGCTACATGCTCTTCATCGATAATGACTATCGAAGGGTCATCAACAAAATGTTTCTCGATGAAATGTCCGTAAGCCTTCGATTCCCAATCAATTTTGGACCGCAAAGAGCTACTCGAAGGATATGCACCTTTAATATACTTCTCCCCTATGGGCTTCAACCCGATAATAGCCGCAATCTCGAAAAGGGTAGGCGACGAGAGGACCACAAGGCAACTCCAAAGCATGTAGGTCTTTGTTCCATAAATGCACCGCAGACAAAAACATCGCCATGTCCAAAAATGATAGATCGCATCGAGACGAGATGCAAAAAGTCGAAAATTCCTATATCCCTCCAATGGTTCCCAAACTTGGCTTGTACCCTATCGAACCACCTAATAAATTGAGGCTTTTTGGAAGGAGGGCCCGTTCTATACACTTTAGAAGTAAGATTCGGAAAATCAACCCTAACTTCGGGTTGATGAACCAAAGCCGGACTAGTTGAGAGGTTAAGAGGAGTAAAAATGTCATCGATAGGACGGAGAGGACCCCAAAAGCAAAATTTACCCCTTCAACGAGTATAAGGAATAAGTACTGCGTCTCGACGAATCTTGCGGGAAGCCTCCTCCATCGGAGGAACTGGAGCGAACCTCACGGTTGTTGATCTCCAGCGAGGTTAGATGGCGATGAAGAAAGGGGTGGAGCGAGAAAAGTCGGAAGATTTTGATGAGCTGGCCATTGTAGTGAATTTAGGAAAACGAAAGGGAAGAGTTAACGGATGAGGTAATAGGAACGAAGGCGAGGAGCTCAAGGAAGAAGATGAAATTGCACAGAAGGTAATGGTTCGCGTAAAACCAGAGTGAAGACTAAGGGAGAGGTTAAGGGTAAATCGTATAGGGAAGCTGGAACGATGGAGGTGAAAGGTAATAAATGCAGCGTCTTGTGAAGGTAGCAGGCCGACGAGACAACGACATAAAGCAAAAAGAAACCCACAACCCTTTTAAACCCTAGAACCCCAGAAACCCTAAACCCTAAATCCTGTGGGCTTTCAAATACTAAGGCGGGAATATTGAAAGAATATAAAACAGAAATCATTTATATTCTTCCAAGGGGGCATTTTGTTAGTGGCAAATCGAGAAAAGCGATCGAAATCGAAGGGAAGAAATATGACTCGATAAGATAAACAAAAGTTCATTCGATGTCTAATTAGAAATACGTAGCATATAGCATCGAGAAACACAATCGAGAATCGAATGAATTGTAATCAAATGACTGTTGTCGAATAAAAACTAAGTCATATAAGATCAGGATTAAAAAGGAATCGTGAGCAATTCGAAGTTCTCGAAAAATATAGAATCGAGAATAAAGAAAGCCAATGGGGACATCGAGATTTTGGCCAAATCGTGAAGGGAAGTAAGTCGAATGCACGTATAGAGAGCAGTTTTGAAATCATGGGTAAAAGTCGGAGATCGTGAGAACGTGGGAAACTAGAAGATAAACTGCCATACGCACGTAGAACGTGGTAGCAGTCGTATTAACTGCTCTTAGAAGGCTTGAAGGATGCCCTATAAATAGAGCAAAGAAGGAAGGAACAAGGGGAGCAAAAATTGGCGAGACACAGAACCGAGTAGTGAAAAGTCTACGGAGAAACGACGAACACCATGAAGCTTACGGCGGTCCGGATTTCCCTGCTCACGGAGTACATTTATCGCTTTCGTATTTTCCTTGGTAATTTACTTTGATGCAACTTAAATTCAGCGAGTTTTATGTTTACGTATTTCGATTCCTTGTCCATTTCAATTCAATGAAAATTTGAGTTTACGCATTTAGATTTCCTGTTATTTAACATTCTGCAAATCTCAATTTCTCGTCATTTACTTTTCTTGCAATCTCGATTTCTTGTCAGTTATATTTGTGTTGTTTTCGATTCCTTGCTATTTACAATTAATGCAAGTTTGGGGTTCTCGCATTTTACATTTCCTCGCAATTTAATATTACGCTTTTCTATTCGATAGTCTAAATTTTTTCGATACTTTAAATACAAAATACCAAAAACAATATTTTCGATATCCTGGAGTTTTCGATTTTCATACACGTTTTCGATTGAAAACCAAATTGCTAGCCTAAGTAAAAAGAGCTTACGTGGTAGGATTTTGATTAGGACCAAAACACCCTAGAATCGAAATCGATCGAAATTCCACCGAAACAGGTATTTTAATCTTAATTTTTATTATAATCGTAATCATATATAAAAATACAACAATAACTTATACAAAATTATCGTCATGTATTATCTTTAAATTAAACTTGATAATAAAGTAGATGAAAATATTATTATAATTTATTATGAGAATGTCATTATTGACATTTCCTTTTCATGGTTATATCCTCACTTACTACTACAACAGTTAGTAATCATAATGGATTGTATTAAAACCTAGTTTGTACGTCGAACTACATTTCGAAGTCTTAATATTTTTGCAGAATATTATTTACGTTATGAATGCAATACCGAAAAATATTGCATATTATTCGTGGTTTTTTGTGTCAATTGCGTGAGTTTTTGTGAATTTCCTAGTACAAAAAAGTCAACCTCATAAAAGTGGGATCGTCTTCATTTCCATTGAGTTATTATTTTTTAATTCTGTTAAAGTTAAAGAAAAAGGGTTGACATCATATATGCTTTAAATCATTTAAATTATTTTGATAAACAAATCATAAATAACCATTAGAACTGAAATAATTATTTCTTATGAAAAAAATTAAATTCATAATAATAAAATATTAGTTAAGAAATATATCACTTAATTGTATTATATGTTTAAAATATTCTAATAATTAATACTTTTTATTTTGAGTGTTAAATTAATTACAATTAAAAGTAAATATTGAAAAATAATGTTTAGAAAATGTGAAAAAAAATAGAAATAATTTTCAGTGACCCTATACTAAAACTATAACCATATACATCAAGAAGGTAGAATTAACCATCCATGATGGAACATTAGATATTTATTCTTGTCCAATGACTCGTGAAAATTAGATTCAGTGCACTTTAAATTTGTTTGAGATAATATAATTAAAATTATTTAAAATATTATCCATTTTTAAAGTTTGAATTTGATTTTATTATAATTTTATTTTTCAAAATGAATAAATTTTAAAAAAGAAAGTGTATTATATAAAATTTATGTTCAGACTAATTTTTTATTTTTTTAAGAATTTAAAATTTGACAGTGAAATGTTTTTTCTTATTGCCATTGATAAATTTGTTAATTCTATACTAGTTATATTGAAGTTGTTAATTAATTAAAAGTGTATTTTTTTATTAACTAAAAAATTATTGTAATACTCAAAAAGTAATATCACTAGAAATAGTATTCTTTGGCACAAGTTGTTTGGTGGTGCAAAAATATCAGAGTCTGAGAAGTGCTTGCTGAACCACTCGAGTGGAATTTTCCTTTTGCAGAAACCAAAGAAGAAAAGGAGATGCAGACTGAAGAGATACGTCAAAAATTAAAAACAGAGAAAGAAACAAGAAATAAGATGTGTATGAAAATAAATGGTCCCTATTCTCATCACGACAGAACAAACACAAGAAACATAAAAGGACAACTTTCATGAAATTAAAAAATAATAATAACTGAACCTGAACTGAGGTGATTCAGAAGGGTTGAGAGTGGCAATGGCAGCAAAATCTTTGGGCTTCGCTGTGTCTGTGAGTCACCTCCTCGGTTCCAAGTCGCCACCTAAGCTTTGCGTCTTTACTATATCAGATGTTTTGCCAGTAATCCCTTCTTTTTCTTCCCTTTCTCTTCCATTTACTTTACCAATAAACCAATTTCATGATCCATGAGTTTTATTCGAAGCTATGTTTCCTTTTGTTACTTTATAATTTGGTTTGCACCAGAAGTGAACACATTCTTTGCTTAGATGGGGCTTGAAGAAATTGATCAAGTATTTTTTTTTTTGGATTGAAATATAGGAAATGGAGAAAGGCCTTGGAAAACTTCGGATGCTAGGCTTGTATTAGAAGATGGATAAATTTGGAAGGCAAAGTCCTTTGGTGCAGCAGGAACCCAAGTGGGTGAAGTTGTTTTTAATACATCATTGACTGGGTGAGATGAGATGAACTATAGATCATAAAATCTAGCCATTGTTATGCCATGCATTCAATCTGAACATGGATATTTAATTTTAATTTTTTTAGTACCTTCTCACTGCAGGTATCAAGAAATTCTAACATATCCTAGTTATGCTGGTCAATTTGTGCTGATGACAAACCCGCATATTGGTAACACTGGTGTAAATTTGGGTAAGTTTTTAAATTCTAAGTCTCTTGAGTGTTTGTTCTTGGAAGTTGTCTAAAACCTACCTTTTGATGCTCTGACTGCCAGATGATGAGGAATCAAGACAGTGCTTCCTTGCTGGTCTAGTAATTAGAAGTTTGAGTATCAGGTTAAATTCACAAGCTCTACAAATGCTTTTCACTAATTGAACTTCACTTTTTCCCATGCTTACTTTTTCTTTGTCCTTGCAATAAATCTATGCAGTACCTCAAGCTGGAGAAGTGTAGAAACACTAGGTGATTACTTAGCAGAAAGAAATATCATGGGAATTTGTAAGTAACTTGCACGAATGTATAACTCTGTAAGTGTTACTTCGATAAAATCGTGTGTAACTTCAGGTTTTGGCTTTAACTTTGGTGGAACTTTGTGATGCAACAGATGATGTTGACACACGAGCAATCACACGCAGATTACGGCGAGATGGCAGCCTCATTGGTGTGTTAAGTACTGACAATTCTGTAACAGATGAGGAACTACTTAAGATGTCTCATTCTTGGGACATTGTTGGTAAGGATATAAATCTTTGAGGCTCTCGAAACATCTTAAAAGTGGAAGTGTGTGACTGTTGTTCCATTTTTCAGGTATTGATTTAATTAGTGGAGTGTCATGTCGAGCTGTGCATGAATGGGTTGATAAAACTAAGCAAGAATGGGATTTTAGTTCTAGGGGGAGTGAGGAGATTTTCCATGTAAGTATTAGAAAGAAGTATTCTCTAGTTACTTCCTCCTTCCTTTTGCTTCCCTAATGCATACATTAGTTTATACTATATATGGTGAATGAATGATAGGTTGTGGCGTATGATTTTGGAATCAAGCATAATATACTTAGGCGCTTGGCGTCTTATGGCTGTAAAATCACTGTTGTACCATCTACGTGGCCAGCAACAGAAACCTTGAAGATGAATCCAGATGGGGTGCTATTTAGCAATGGCCCTGGAGATCCATCTGCTATTCCTTATGCCATTGAGACAGTAAAGAAAATTCTGGGAAAGGTGCCTGTTTTTGGAATTTGCATGGGCCATCAATTGCTGGGTCAGGCTTTAGGAGGCAACACCTTTAAGATGAAATTTGGTCATCATGGAGGAAATCATCCGGTTCGTAACCTTCGAACAGGCCATGTTGAAATTAGTGCTCAGGTGTGCGATCTAATGAACTAATTCTGTGATACAAGTGTTATTTTAGAACAGTGTTTTGTTTGAGGGGGTTTTACATTTCTTAAATTTAGCAGTGTTCCTCCACCATTTCGTGTAAAAACCATGAACCTTCAGGTATACAAGAGAGAAAATGATCATTGGTTTAAGATGATATATGTTTTACTAACGAGGGTTAGTAATGCCCCGAAATAATGGTAAAACTGTATTCACTATAATATGGTTTGTGTTGGCGATTAAAACGATTTATTCAGCAACTCAGCTTAGGTCCATGTTGTATTATCAGAAAGATACATCATTACATGAAGTCACTGCATTTTGGATCCTAATCTTTTCATGAGGTAGAAAAAGCAGCACAGAAGATTGTCTCCATGCAAATAGTGATGTAACGATTGATTGTTGTTGAAATGGCTTTGTATATTCACAAATTAATACACATATTGGCAGAACCACAACTATGCGGTCGACCCTGCCACGCTGCCAAAAGGAGTGGAGGTTACACATATCAATCTTAATGATGGAAGTTGTGCTGGCCTTGCTTTCCCTGCTCAAAGAATAATGTCTCTTCAATACCATCCCGAAGCCTCCCCAGGACCTCATGATTCTGATTACGGTATGAGATATATACTGCTATTATTGTTTCAATTACATTCATTATTAATCTTTTTGTTCATTATGCAGCTTTTAGGGAGTTTGTAGAATTAATGGAGCAGCAGAAAAGCAAGAAACCTGAACCCAGATTATCAACAGTGTCTGACGCATAATACTCGAAAGCTGATACACTGTCCCAAGAAACCATTTAGTGTAATTTCGAGGGTTATAAGTCATTTTCAATTATCTCCCCTCACAAGGGTTGAATTACCTTTCATTTATTCTGCTTCTGGAAGTTTAGCGTCACGGAGACTACTAAAACTCTTTAATTGAGATATCAAATGTTATACATTATTCTTGGTTTGAATTAGAGTTCCCCATATCATGTTTTTCTGATTTAAACGACAAGCCAAGATGAACAGAGAAATAGTAGAAAAATTAACACCATTTGATATGATTAAATACATAAGAGGGTCAGTAGAAGAACCCTAAAGAGCATCCCCTCCAAATTCCAAGATTCAGAAACGAAACTATCAAGGACTACAAATAAAAACACACAAAGCCCAAAAGTAAATATGTAGAAAGAAACAAGTGAGATGTGAAACTAGGCCCTTTCGCCTCTGATCCTTCTAGCGAGTTGAATATCTTTGGGCATGATGGTGACCCTCTTAGCGTGAATAGCGCAGAGATTGGTGTCTTCGAAGAGTCCGACCAAGTAAGCCTCAGCAGCCTCCTGGAGAGCCGAAACGGCACTGCTCTGGAACCTCAGATCCGTCTTGAAGTCCTGTGCGATTTCACGAACCAGCCGCTGAAAGGGTAGCTTTCGGATCAAAAGCTCCGTGCTCTTCTGATACTTTCTGATTTCCCTCAGAGCCACAGTTCCCGGCCTGAATCTGTGGGGCTTCTTCACTCCGCCGGTCGCCGGAGCAGACTTACGAGCAGCCTTTGTCGCCAGCTGCTTCCTGGGAGCCTTGCCACCGGTAGATTTGCGGGCTGTTTGCTTAGTACGGGCCATTTGGAAGGTTCTAGTAGATTGCGGAGGAGCAAATGGAAATGGAGAACGCTGATGGGGTTTACAAGAATGAGAGAATAAAGCCAGAGCGGTTCTATTATATAGGTGCGAACTTGAAATCTTGGAGGGAAGGAGATTTGCGTTTTGGACCTTTGGATTTAGAGCGATCCGTGTGTGGATTATCGGACGGTTATATTTTCGTTTTGACAGATCACGCGGATTCATCTTTTCCATTTTAAGCTTTTGGTTTGGCGCTGCCAGAGATGTGGCGTGGGAAATCGTTTTTCAGTTTCGTAGGACCATATGTCTCGTTGTTTGTAAAATTATTAGAGTATTTTACTTTGTCAAGAATATAAGATAAATAAAAATATAAATTTAATTTAAATATAAAATAAATCATTTAAATTGTACTGTAAAGTTTTTTTAATAATTTATTTTAAAAAATTCATTTTAATCAATATAAAATTAATACATTAAAAAGGATAGATGGTAAAGAAAATTAGGTAGAGATTATTTAAAAAAAAAGGAAGAAATTAGTGTCTTCCAAAAGTTAAAAAAAAAAGATAATATATATAAGGTTTTATGAAATAAAATAATATAATATAATGAAATTTCACGTTAACGTTTGATATAATATTAATTCAATAATAAATTATTGATTTTAATCGATAATATCTTAAAAGACTGGATACTTCACTTAATTTTATAAAATTTACATATAATATTTATATTTTATTATATTTTTAGGTTAGGTGAGATTTCATCAAAATTAAATAATATGTTATTTTATTATAAAAATTAAATTTATTGTCATTTTAAATTATTTTATAAAATAATATTGTATATTATTACTACTCCTATTATTATTATTTAAATTCGAACAACCTAAATTCTCTCCTACATTTTGGGGGAGTTGAATTAAAATTAATTATGGAAAAATATTGGCTATTTATAACTAATTATATTGATCTTGATTTTTATGAAATATGTGAGATTTTATCAGTACATGTTTCCTCTAAATCTATACTTTCTTCACGTTTTGCTCATAGAAGGTGTTTATGGTTAAGAGATAAAAGTTATTTAAGTTTTTATTAAAATAAGTTTTTGCGTTGAAGATTAAAAGGATAATAATACTTAGAATTCTTTTTGTTTTATCTTTATTAGAAAAATAGGGTATGTATAAGTTATTTAGTCTCAATATCTAAATGAAATAATTTATTAAATATTAGATTAAAAATTTATTAAATATTTAGTCTCAAAAATAGGCCTCAATATTACAATTTAATGATTAATAATTAAATAAATATGAAAAATAAAATAATTAGAACATAAATAACAAATAATTTAAAATTCTCAATATCAAATAATATATGTTTTACAGCAATTTCTAAATTATGTATAATTGGAACGAAAATAATAATGAATAATACATGTATATATCTACATTGTATTTTTTTTTATTAAAATCATTATCTGAAATATAAATATTAAAAACTATAAAATTATTCAAAATTGCACAAACGCGAATATTGATAATGAGAGCATTACTTATTTTGCTTTGTTTTTTACTGGATGGAAAGAGTAGATGAGAGAAGAAAAGAAGACAAATATGTAATAGAAAATAATATTTTTAATTTTATAACATCTTATTGTTTAACATGATTTTGATCACCTGAATTTACACACTTTGCTTCGGAGATAGATTCATTAGAAACTTGGTGGTGTAAAGGATCAACAATGGTTGTATCATAATAATCAAGTGATGATGACTTCAAAGTATATTTTTTTGTCACATTTTTATCATACTTCCTTATAATCAAATAAGTTGAAAAGGTTAATAAATATAAATATAAAAAATATTCAGAATAAGATAATAGATGAAATCAGAAACAATAACTATAACAAAAGTCCAGACTCTTACTCCTTCAAATTGCAATGCTAAATAACAAGCCAATTAGAGTAAAATCTAAATAAACAGCCATGTACTCTTCAATGGAGACATCAATGCAGTAAAAATATTTCATTTTCACCAACGGATGCAAGCACCACCGGAACACAACTAACCACCCTTATGCTATGATAGCAAGTATTAATCAGAAAGACTACCTGAATTTCAGAGGCCACCAACATACCCATTAAGAAGATTCTATTACCTTCAAACAGAAGCTGTCATTAGCAAACAATATTTACCATTTGATGCATCATCTCATTTAACTTGAGTAATCAAATTAGCCGAACCAAAAGCACGATCATCAAATCAAATTGTTGCGAGTAACCTAGTCATAGCCTTTCGATTTACACCAAATAAAATTTAAATTTGCATTTAGCGTAAAAAGAACATCAAACGTTGACACAATGGATAAATTTTCAATATCGCACATAGAAGAGCATCGTTACAGGAAATCTAAACACTGTATGATCGGTCGATCAATCTTGTAAGACCACTCACAAAAACTACCAAGGCTAAAATAGAAGAGAAAACAATAAGAGAAACCCAGAGATTTACGAAACTAAGCCCTTTCGCCTCTGATTCTTCTGGCGAGTTGAATATCCTTGGGCATGATGGTGACCCTCTTGGCATGAATGGCGCAGAGGTTGGTGTCTTCAAAGAGTCCAACCAAGTAAGCCTCAGCAGCTTCCTGAAGCGCCGAGACGGCACTGCTCTGGAACCTCAGATCCGTCTTGAAGTCCTGTGCGATTTCACGAACCAAACGCTGAAAGGGAAGCTTTCGGATCAGAAGCTCGGTGCTCTTCTGGTACTTCCTGATTTCCCTCAGAGCGACGGTCCCTGGCCGGAACCTGTGGGGCTTCTTCACTCCGCCGGTCGCCGGAGCAGATTTACGAGCAGCCTTCGTCGCCAGCTGCTTCCGAGGAGCCTTACCGCCGGTGGACTTACGGGCTGTTTGCTTAGTACGTGCCATATGGAAGTTTCTAGAAGATTCTTGAGAAGCGATTCGAAGCGAAAAACGCTTTGGCGTTTGATGGAATGAAGGTAGAAGCCAAAGGGATTCAATTATATACGTCAGAGTTTGAAATTTTGGAGGGAAGGAGGTTTGCGTTTTGGACCTTTGGATTTGGAGCGATCCGTGTGCGGCTTTATTGTACGTTCAATATTTCGTGTTGAGATATCACGCGGATTCATCCTTTCCATTTTAGTTTTCGTTTGGCGCCAGCGAAGGAGACGTGCATTCCTTCTTCTTCTTCTCTGTTTCTCCCTCTTTTAAATTTTTCAAGTTTTTCAGTTTATCACAGTAGAATATATATATATATATATATATATATATATATATATATATATATATATATATTTATCATTGCAAACTTTAAATACTCAATTTGAATTTTAAAGGAGTATAAAAACATACTTAGTAACTGATTCTAAAAATTTACTCGAAAATTGCATAACAATAATTTAATGGCGATTTTGAAACAAAAAATTATTTTGCTTTTAATTTTAGAAAATATCTTAGTTTTTTTTTAATTTTAATTCAAAAGTGATTTGATTATTTTACGTTAGATTTGATTAAATGGTATTTCAGTATATTTGATTTGTTCAGATTTTGTTTATAGATTTATTTTAGTCTCTAATTCAAATATATATGTTCATACAAATTTGAAAAATTGTAGTTATTTCTTGATGAATAGATAACAAAGTTAAATTTATGCATTATGAGAAATAACCAATATATTCCCTCTTATGTTTTCTGAGATTAAGTTTGTAAGGAAAAAAGCGTCAAAAACACTTCAATTAGAACACAAAATTTAGAACTACAAACGGAAACCAAATTGGACTGATATTTGACCCTTGAGTTCTCAGTTACGAATAAGATAACAGAATAATCAATGAAGTTCTGGATTTGAACAGAACCAAAGAGGCCATTGCATTTGGAGTGGCTTCATGGAAATGATACTATATCATGTAAATAAAAGAGACGAGTCTTATTTAGTGTCTCGTGCCTTTTACATCAACACATAACATCATCAACTGCAATAATAGTATCATACACAGCAGAAAATTATGGCCTATTGTGGAGGAGAAATTAGACAAAGGAAAATGTTGGCCCCTTCACCATTTCCAGAAAACATTAGAACCACACTTGTATTTGTCCTTTCCTTCACATTCTATATCCAAATCATCAGAAAGAAAAGGCACTTTCTGCGTTCAATACAAGAAACCAAAGTAAAAACTTTTGAGTCAGTGTCATGCAAGTTTGATATAAAGACTATATAGTTGAAAGAAATTAATAACTTACTTTTTAAATTTTAATTAAAAAACTTATAAAAACATATCATCATTTTCCAAAAATAAGTTAAAACTAGCAGAGCATATATACCTTTTGCTTAGCTAGATCTTGGCAACCAGTAAAGTTTTCTGGGAACTTGCAAGTGCCAAATTCCACAGTGTATGCTCTTGCAAAATTGGCCCCAGTTGTCGCTAACCTTTTCTTGTCATTCAGTTCCTGTAGCAATTATCAACTATAAACTAGTTAAACTACAATGGCTTGGAAAAGATAAATCAAGGTAACCATGGATGTGTGGCAAAGACAAGGGTTTTGAAAAGACCTTGTTGGCCTTGCTCTTTTCAAGGTATTCTTCAATGATTCCAGCATTGGCAGGAGAGTTGGAAGCAGCAGCTGCAGCAGTGAAAAGGGTAGCTGTCAAGAAAACAAGGGCATTTCTCCTTCCTTCGTTTGATTTAGATTCAACAACTTTAGCTTGCTGAGCCTTGATGATAGGCAACTTGAGACCAGACACTGGTGGAGATGCAACCGAAGGCACGGAAGAAAGCTTGGCATTAAGGTCGGAGCATCCTGATCTGGCATAGTTGCAGGCCAAGACACTAGAGTTCATGGCAGACATGGTGGATATATGCAGAATGGTTGTATTGATTTTGAAGGACCTAGGGGTTGGGATAAACATATTTGATTAACTAAATTATAGGTTTTAATAACGGGACAAAATATTATATAATCAGAATTTCCTATATTTAGTCTTGATTTGTTAGAGTAAAATACTATAAGATTATAGTATATATATACAAAAATAATATGAATAAAAATTATAGAATGAATTCTATGTTTTTCAATCACTACTACAAATAAAGCTTTCAACGTCGGTTCGGAAGGCTTTCAACGTCGGTTTAATAACCGACGTTCTAAAAACCGACGTTAAAGTTTTTACTTTAGATAGCGGTTATAAGGGAACCGCTATCTAATATACACTTTAGATAGCGGTTGTAAGGGAACCGCTATCTAATATGACTTTAGATAGCGGTTATAAGGGAACGCTATCTAATATACGTTATAAGTCGACTTTCATCGTCGGTTTATTAGAACCGACGTTGAAAGTATGATTTTTTAAATTAATAATTTTTATTTATTTACAACCCCTTTACCCCCTTTTATTTATCTAGAAGTCTCCCTCTCTTCATATTATATTTTTATTAGGTCATCCATCTCTTTATATTATATTTTTTAGAAGTTTTTTAATTTTTAAGAGAATTGTCATTGGCAGGATTCGAACCCGAGTACTTTAGAGTTGGAGGCTGATACTCCAACCACTAAACTACTTGAATTTTTTGATAATAACTTACAAATAAATTATATTTATATACAAATAAATATATATCAGTGTAAATTTCACTACTAGAAAAATGTCAAATAGTAACTTCGAATCTCAACCCCAGCCTCAACCTCGACGAACTCGAGGCCGAACCCCAACTCGGCGACATCGAACCCCAATGTCAAGTCAAACCCAATTGTCATGCTTGTGAAACCCAACGCAAACCCAGTGGAGCTCGAACCCTAACGCATACCCTAGTGACGTCGAACTCTAACCTCGAGCCAACCCCCACTTTAATTCGGTCGCAATTAGCGATTGATTGATTGCTCAAGGATGTGTAAAAGATGATATATTCAATGTATGTTAAAAAAGTTCAAGCCAAACTGTTTTTATAGAAGATTTTCAAAACTGCTGGTTTAATTAATCTGTTAAAAGATTCTTTTAATCTGTTAAAAGTGCAGTTTTAATCTGTTAAAACTTCTTTTAATCCATTAATACGTTCTTGATTCTTTAACAGTTTTGTTTTAACTGATACGACAACGTTTATATCAATTAAAACACTTTACAAAAAATCTTCTAAGTTGATTTAATCGATTGTTTCGCGATTCAATCGATTGAAATACTGCAAAACTTTCTCGTGACACTTTTCAAGTAATTTTAACTGATAAAAATAAGTTTTAATCAATTAAAACGCTGTGCAAAAATTGTTTTAATCGATTGAAACGAGATTTAATCGATTAAAATAGTTCTGATCGGTCATAACTACATTCTGATCGATCATAATTGAAACAATATAATAGCGGTTCCAGGTTAACCGCTATCTAAAATGTATCTCGCTTGAGCGACACCCTTCTCGCTCGAGCGAAACACCCCCTGCACAAAATTAGCATTCTCGGGTTGTATTTCGCTTGAGCGACACTACCCTCGCTCGAGCGAAATTAGATTCTGATCGATCATAACTTGAAATGATCGATCATAATTGAGAGGATATAATAGCGGTTCCCTTATAACCGCTATCTAAAGTGTATATTAGATAGCGGTTATAAGGGAACCGCTATCTAAAGTGCATATTAGATAGCGGTTATAAGGGAACCGCTATCTAAAGTGTATATTAGATAGCGGTTCCCTTATAATCGCTATCTAAAGTGTATATTAGATAGCGGTTCCCTTATAACCGCTATCTAATATACACTTTAGATAGCGGTTCCCTTATAACCGCTATCAGTAAGTAAAAAATAAAATAAAAAAAGACTTTCAACGTCGGTTCATATGGGAACCGACGTAGAAAGTACTTTCTACGTCGGTTGACTAAGAACCGACGTAGAATGTGTTTAATATTCAATTTCAACGTCGGTTCATCTGAGAACCGACGTGGAAAGTACTTTCTACGTCGTCTCAGCTATAACCGACGTTAAATAACGACGTAGAAGTATATTTTGTAGTAGTGAATTTGGTACCAGAACTTATAATTTTATTCTTTTTCTTTCAAAATCCTTGGAGATCTTAACTGGAGAGATGACAGAAAAACTAATTCCAATGGTTGTTCAATCTGAAGGTGTCTCCAACGCAGACATCATCCTAAATGAATCCAATTATGACGTATGATCACAACTAACGGAGATGCATATTGCAGAGAGGGAAAAATTGTCCTATATCCGTGGGAAGGTGAAGCCTCCATCAGAGAATGATGAGGGATATGAAAAATGGTATGTTGAAAACCAAAAAGTGAAAATATGGTTATTGATGTTCATGAAGCCAGAAATTATGAAAATGTATATTTGCTTACCCATTGCCCTCGATATTTAGAATGCTTTGTAAAAGGCATTTTATGATGGAAGTGATGAGCTACAGGTGTTTGCCCTGAATCAAAGGGCATTCACTGCAAAACAAAATAATAGAATCTTAACTGAATATTATGGGGAGTTGGTTGAGATTTTTAGGGAATTAGACCATCGTGACAAAGTAGTCATGAAGGACCCTGATGATGTGAAGTCATATCAGAAGTCCATTGAAAGATTAAGGGTGAATATATTCCTTGCTGGACTAGATGATGATTTCGAGCAAGTTCGTGGAGAAATCTTGCGCAAAGAAGCGACACCTGATTTAGAAGAATGCTATGTATTGATCCGGAGAGAGACAGTCCGGCGAACAACGTTGAAAACAGAAGATATGATTTCTAATTCCACAGCTATGATGATAAAGAAGCAGCCAGCAAATTACCACAGCAAATCGAAGTAATCAAAAGATTTTGAAAAAGGTAACTACAAGTGTACTTAGTGTAATAAGGATGGACACACCAAGGAACGATGCTACGAAATCATAGGATACCCCGAGTGGTGGGATTACAGTCGAGCATCGAAGAAGAATTCAAAAAGAAATTCAACTGTTGTTGTTGTAACTGCCATTGACAAAGAGGACGACAAATGCATGATGTTTGCTACAATTGCAGGTAGTGATGATTCTAATGGTAAGACTTTAATAAGCACATCTACCGTTCTGAATAATGCATGAATAATTGACTCTGCATGTTCTGATCATGTGACTTTTGATGTTAGACAAATTAAAAATCATAAATCTTCCTCATAAAAAAGTATATCCACAGCCAATGGTAGTAAATTCATTATTATTGGAGAAGGAACTGTCTCTATTTCAAACAATTTGAATCTTGATACTGTCATTGTTGTCCCTTCTCTTAAATATAACTTATTGTCAGTCTCGCAAATAACCAAAGCTCTTTTATGTGTTGTAATTTTTGGGTCTGTGTTTTTAAGGATATTCAAACGAGGAAGACGATTGGTTGTGGTATTAGGCGAGAAAGGTTGTATTACCTGGACCTGACAGAAAAAGATTCGAAGAGACTTGGTCAAGTGCTAGCAACAAAAGGGTCTCAAGAAGTAAAAAAAGACGAGGATATCTGGTTATGGCATAAGCTTCTAGGACATGCATCTTTTGGATACATAAAGAAATTATTTTCAAATGTATTTGACCAAGTAGACACTTCAACTTTTTATTGTGATGTTTGTGACCTTGCAAAGAGTCATAGAACACATTTTCCTTTAATTTTAAATAAAAGTTTTCTTTCTTTTATGATCATTCACTCTGATGTATGGGGTTCATCTAAGGTTACAACGTTGGGTGGCTCAACGTGGTTTGTAACGTTTATTGATGATTGTACTCAAATGACTTGATTATGTTTGATGAAGTCTAAAAGTGAAGTTGGAGGACTATTTCAGAAATTCTGCAAAATGATTGAGACTCAGTACAAAACACAAATTTAGGTACTGCGCAGTGACAACGAAGGAGAATATATGCAATCAGAACTTCAACATTTTTTAGTAGCCAAAGGAATTGTTCATCAAAGATCTTGTCCAAGTACTTCACAACAGAATGGGGTGGCAGAACGAAAGAACCGTCATCTATTGGAGGTGGTCCGAGCTGCACTAATTGGATCTCACATGCCAGCAATATATTGGGGAGAAGCTCTCACATATGCAGTATATACTATCAACCGAACACCGTCCAGGTCTCTTGAGTATAAAACACCTCTTCAATCACTTACAGATGCAGTAGTAAGTCCTAAAATTACTGAACTAACACATAAAGTTTTTTGTTGTGTTGCTTATGTTCACTTACACAAGCATCAGAGAAGTAAGTTGTCTTCTAGAGCTGAAAGGTGTGTGTTCCTTGGCTATGCGGATCACCAGAAAGTATATCGGTGCTACAATCCTCAAATCAAACAAATGTTTACTACTATAGATGTAGTTTTTCATGAAACCTTGATATATTTTTCCCCCGAGTCTGAAATTCAGGGGGAGAATTATGATGAAGTTCAGACTTTTGTTCCTCAAGAAATTGATATTGAGATCAGATTGAAGAAAGAAAGTTACAAAGTTGTATCAAAAGATGATGAAAGAATGCAACAATGTTATGATCAACAACCACATAATGAGGAAGATTTTGAGCATGTTAAGATCAAAAATTTGCCTGTTGATGCTCATGATGTACCACACCAATCGTCCCCTCAAGAACCTAATACAGAAAAAAGAATTCTGTCAGATCGTGTCACTAGAGGTATCCCTAAGCTTACTTATGATCCTGACCTCACTAGTAAGACAAGATACCCTATGAGTAATTATGTTTGTAACCAAAATTTGTCTAACTCAAATATCGCATTTATAAGTCAATTATCTACTGTATCTATTCCTAACAGTGTGCAGGAAGCTTTAGTTGACTCCAGGTGGAAGGATGCTATGAATGAGGAGATGAGATCCTTGCAAAGAAATAAAACA